TATTGCCAAGATTATTCAGTCCCACAAATGGTAACAAATTTTCTCTCTTCTCACAGTTTATAGGTGAGGACTGTGCTGCAGGAACAACTTGATCACTATTAAGTATAGAGGGGAGGAAAGACATAATGAAGCAGCATCTTAAAGAAACAAAATGGAAATATTGCTTCCCTAGATTTTCCTGTTCTCAAAAGAGTTATAATCTGAATGATTTTAGTGAGATGACACCTTAAGAAATCTACACTCAAAAATTGCCATATACCCAGAATAATCATTATTACACTCAACAAACTACAAAATAATTCCCTTAGGAGGATGTTTGTCCCATTTTTCAGAGTAAAAAAACTGCAGAACTGGTACTGTGATTTTTTTTTTAACTTAGTGTAATGTTTCAATTAAGTAGTTTAATTCTGAATATGAACTTGGGATAAACTGACTAAAAAGTATTTAGGAGGCTGCATTAAGGTTCTATTAATAAAGATTAAGTAGAAAAGCCTATGAAGAGAATTTATCCCTCACTTAAAAATAAATTGTTCGTACCAGGCATCATGGCACACTCCTGCAATACCCAGGGAGTTGGGGAGCTGAGGCAGAAGGATTGCAAGTTCATGGCCAGCTTGGGTAATTTAGGGAGACCCCCATCTCAAAAAAGTAAAAAATGATAGGGCTGTAGCATTGTAGTAGAGGGCCCCTGGGTTCAATCCCCAGTATTAATTAATGTCTATCATGTTTTTACATCACTTTAACAGTGGGTTCCCTAGTATTTTTGTGAACCTTACAGCCAAATTATTACAAGAGCACCTCAAAGTATTCATAAGTATGAATGCTGATAAGCAAAAGGTTCACAAACTCAATGGATAACTGCTAGATACTAGGAAATTGTACATGGGACCAAATAGACTTTAATCACCCAGCAGAGTGCCTATATGTTGAATAAGGAGCTAGAATAGAGCAACATGGAATAAAGTATTCCATTTTGTTCTGATTTCTTGCCAGTCACTAAAGAATTTCCATAAAAACATTTATTTTTAGGTACATTTTAAATATCAATTACAGCTGTATGCCTCCAGCAGGTATGATTAGTTATGACTGCACACCTACATGACTACAGAGTTTAAATAACAGACAACTGTTGTCTTTTGAACACCACAAAAAACAAAAACACCTTTTTTAATCCTTACAACAAAAAATAATCAAGTGTAAACTCTAAAATAGAGAATTTAGTCAATTAACATTTCTCCAAATTATCCTAAATGGCTCAAGACAATGTTAATAAATTTATACTGTGGTGTGATCCCTGTGGGGAACCACCAGCTTTGCTCTGTTCCTACTACATGCTGCTAGACTTTGTCTTCCTAAAAGCATACGAATATGTATATTTTTTCCCTACTATTACTACCAGATCACTCAGGAGGTATTAACCCAAGTTCAATGCTCCCTTCTACACTGATTCAGAATTTTAAAAATACAGAAATAATACTTATAAGACACATACATTTCTGATCCTCTATATTCAGAAGCTTTTTCTTCATTTTCTTGAGAATCTGTGAAATCTAAGGCTCTCTTAGTTTCCTTTTTCTGAAAAAATTTCAAAGAAAGTCTGTTTTTCTTGGATGGACTACCTCTTGAAAGCCCATTACTTTCACTGGGTATGACACCAGGCATTTTCTTTTCAAATCCCAAGGAGTTGACAAGAATTAATTTATAGAGGGCAGTTGTAATCACCAATTATATCTGTTAATCACAAAGAAAAGGTTTCATTAGTTCTCCATTATTAGTGTAGGCAACCGAATCATCAATTGTGACAACATATTTACCAAGGAAATGGTAACAAATTAGAACTTTCAAATAATCTAGGAAATTATTTGATAACCAAATGCAATATTTATTGCTTAAATGAAGGGAGTATGCCACATTGTTCTTAACTTTGTTTTTAAAAAATGTGATGCTAAACCTTTACTAGCCTGCCATAGATTGAGGGCCAAACTACAAAATTTTCCATTTATTAGACCTACAGTAAAGTAGTAGAATTAAGGAGTAAAAATTCGAATTTTCATCATAACTTATTAATTCAAATGTTGACTTAGCAATTGCCATCTCTAACTGAAGTAAGAAGCTAAGAAGGGAGGAGGACAGGAAAATCACAGTAGCAGACAGAAAGAAGTCCTTTATTATTATAAAGGGGAATAAAGTCTCAAAACTCATAAAGAAAGGCATATGGTGTTCAATTATATCTAAAAACCACAATATCCTATTCGTTTTCCAAACTTCTAAAAAACTGCTTTGAGTAGGCAAGAAGATAGTAATTTGCTTTTTGCAAGCTTTCTACCATTTTAAAGTAAAACTTTATGATGAAAATATGGCAATATTTGTGGTAGCTATTTTATACATCAGTCGTATTTTCCATTAGGACATCTAGGGGAAATTACGTGACTATAGAATATTACAATTACTTAAGACCCCAAAACCTCAGCAACCAATTTCAAATGTAAAAACAATAGTAAAATTAACTATGCAAAATTCACTCAAATTCCATCCTTAAACATTTCACTCAATTGACTAATCTAGAAACTCACTCAACTTGGCAGTGAAACCAATTTTGAGACCCAACTGAGGAAGAACTGGAAAGTTGGCCAATTTCCCCATCCTGTCTCCAATTCTATTTACTCTCCTGACCATTTTATGTTTCTGATAAATGAAAAGCCAGTCTGCACTAAAAATTTCAGTATTCTAAGTATTCTCCTCTTATAAGGTTTTTCCCCGACAATTCCAATAAATGACAGAAAGTGAATTCCCTAAGTGACAAGAGAAACCAAACTTAGAGAAGAAAAAAAATGATCCAACAACTGAAACAGCGGATAGTAATCTCAATTCAAATCCTCCTGGACCCCCAAAGCAATGACCAAACATTTAACATTACCAATTATACAACATTTTACTAGGTGCCATATTTTATGCTCTCATTTCCTTATAAGTGGAGGTCTGTTACTCAAGAAACGTTTCTCCTGTAACACAAACTTCACAGAAAACAAGGAATCCAACATTAAACATTCTTGACCCAATGACAGTGTGAATCTCAGTCCTATTAGTTTTGAATAATGACACGACTCCTATTTTTCAAGAAAAAACGTAAAGTAACTAAGAACATCTTTGCCAATGCTTTAAGACACGTGGCGTTCTACAGACTTCTGAGAAAACTGTAAGTTAAGAAAATGCGCGGTAAAATTTCGCAATTACCGACACAAGACAACATGAATGCAAACATTTCTCCTCCCTAACCTGCACCTCTCTACAGAACAGAAAGGAAACTGCAAAGCCTGCAGAGCCCAGGCAGTCTTCGTGCCCCCCAGACACCTCCCCGGCACAGTGGGAGACTGGCCGGGGGCTCTCCAGCCCGCCCCGCCGCTCCCGGCCTCCCTGCCCGCGGAGTTGGCCTACATACCCCCAGCCCGCACCTGCATCCCCGAGTCCCCTGCGGCTGCAAAAGGGGGCGCCCCCCGGGGCAAAGAAGGCTCGGCCCGCAGCTGGGCCAAAGCACAGAACCAAAACGGCCCCGCGTCTTCCCGGCAGCCCCTCTCCGGCGCCCGCGAACTTGCCTCCGCGCCCCTCTGCCCCAGGCCCTCTTACCCGGCCATGGCCCTAAGCGAGGTCCGCGGCGGTGACGCCGCTGAGTCCAGCCGAGATGAGTGTGGGTACCACAGGTGAGTTCTTGCCTGAGACGCCGGGTCCCCGACCCAAGGAAAACCAGATCGGATCGCGGATCGCCCTCCCGCGGGGGAGTGACCATCAGCTCAGAGCGGGAACGCGGGCCGCCGCCGCTCACTCCTGCCTAGCGCACCACCCACTACATCCCCGGAGCGGCGCCCGCTGCGCCCGCCCGGGATGGCTAGGAGCGCAACAAGCGGTGGTCGCGCTCACAGAGCGCCTGAACCGCTAGGGTCTCTCCCACTCCTCCACCGAGGGGAACTTGGCGCGTTTTCCTTAGTCTCAGGACCCCCGTGTTTTAGCCTCCGCCCGCGCCAGCGCTGCGATTGAAGGTGGCGTCCTTCGAAAATGCCGGTTCTAGTCTCCACGCTGCAGAGACGCGAAAGGCAAGAGCCGTCTCGCGACCGCCACTCGGCCCTGGCACGTACGGGCTCCGGAACCAGCTGGAACGGTAGTTCCCCGAAGATCCTAACGGGTTCTGCAGTTTCAAACAGCGCAGGCACAATCACGGGCAGCTCGCGCGGGTCCTCGCTGTGGGCGCGCGCTAGGTACTGGAGGCCTGGCTGGCGGGCTCGAGCCTCACGCCCTTTTTTTTTTTTTTTTTTTTTTAACCATTCGTGCGCGCGAGTGGATGGGAAAGCGTACGGGTCGGGAGACAGGACAGAGAGAAGATGGGATGGGCCCTTTCCTCTAGAAGGAGCCCCCGCTCCTCACCCCCGGCGCTCAAATGCGCCAATCCATGATGAACAATCCCAAAACCTTGTCCCCCCCGCCACCACCGCCAGGAGAAGCCAATCAGAAGTACCTAGATAAAAGCCAATTGGATGGGTGGAGAAGGAAGCCGGGCCAATACCAAAAAAGAAGAAAGGAGGGCTCCAGCCAATCATTGTTGGGCATACATAGTGTTCCTCCAGAGCCGTTCCTCTCCTTCCGCTCTCATTGGCGCTCGAGTGCGCGCTTTCGCTGCGGACTGTTAAAATCTTGCTGTGCGTTTTGTTAAGCCTGGACGGTGGGACGCCACGACGGGTGCGGCTTCCGGAGTGAGGCCCTCACGGCAGGCCCCGCCTCCCTTTCTTGCGTACGCACTCGGGCGGGGTTACCAGGGAGACGGATTTCGGAAAATGGCTGACGGGTTGCTTGCTCCTCTGCGCCTGGCCTTTCTGTTCGGAATGGCAGCCCGAGAGCCCTTCAATAAAAACAGGCTTCTGCCATGAATAACAACAGATTCTCAGTCGAATATTGTAGAGCTGAAGCTCCTTCCTCAAGCCCCTTCGCTTCTTGTTTTCTGTTTGCCCTGTCCTTTGCGGCCGCACTAGACAGTAGTCCCAGTTCCCACTGCGGTAACTTCCAAGGGTTCCGCCGCGAGCTGGTACTAAGGACTCAAAAGCTGAAAAGCATGACTTATCTGGTTTTTGCTTCCCTTTGTTTGCAAGCTTCCTTGGTGAGGTAACCTCACAACTCAAGTAGTTGTGGTTAATCGATTCAGTCCAAATCCACTAAGTGTTTTTTAGGCGCCTACTATTTGTGCCAGACATAATTTCAAGGTGCTAGGCACACTACGTGAATGAAATACATTCCCTGCTATAAAAGAGCTTTAGGGAGGAGACAGACGTTAACTAAAACGATATGAAATAACAAAAGGGAAAGATAAAAATATAGTGCGTTAGATGTGAAAACTAGGAAAGACCTCTGAGTTGACATGCAGCAGAGTGTTGAATGAAAGAGAAGTGAAACTTGGAAATCTGAGGAAACCGCAAGTTCCTTGTAACGTGATGTGCTTGGTATTTTGGGAAATAGGGAGACCTGGAAGCTTAGGGTGTAGCCTGGGTGAGAAGATCTTGAGAGATTGCGATTAGTGTCCTAGGCAGGGCTATAAGCAGGCTAAGGAGATGAATCAGTAGATGGTTCTGAGCAGAGGAGTGGCAGAATTTGTAAAGTGGCTACCTGTGATGCTTAGACTGTACTTTCGATGACAACCCCAACAACTAAGCTAGAGAGTGCTTGGTCTTTGCTAAAATGTTTGGATCTGAGTAAACTCCGAAGAAGAAGTGGCCATTGTACTTAGATGTATTAAGAGCAAGATGCTTATTTTACATAAAACAGATATCCAAAAAGATCAGGATCCAAATTGAGCCAACAGGTAATTCAAAAAGACAAAGATAGAAAATATAATTATAGATCTCTCAGTTACTATTGTCTATCATAGACTGGCAGTGCCTTGTTTTCTAGTACTAACAATTATTGCTATTTTCAGACTATCCAGATGAATAACCAGTTGTAGTTTCCTCTTTCTTTGAGATCCCTTTGAAACCACTACCCCTCCTTGTACAATTTACAATATCAATCAAGGTTCAGTTGAAAATTTTACTTTGCATGGCTACATACCAAGTAAAGATCAAGCCAAGCACAAAGGTGTTCACTTATAATCTCAGTTAGGAGGCTGAGGCTGGAAGATCACAAGTTTGAAGCCAGCCTGGGCAACGTACTGAGATCCTAGTCTCAAAAATTTAAAAGGGCTGGAGGCGCAGCTCAGTGGTTGAGTGCTTTTCTTAGCATGAGTGAGGCCTTGAGTTCAATTCCCAGTAACAAAAAAGAATAACAACAACAAAAAATGAGTTATAATATTAAAGAAGAATAGAACGGATATTAGAGGACAGATAGCATTCTCTGCTATGCTTTTCCTTACCAGATAAAAAAAAAAAAAAAAAAAACTCTGCTGGTGAAAATTTCCCCAGAAGGTGAAAAATGGAGTAAGTACATCTTTGGTTCCTCACACAAAGAATGCACTGGATATCGATTTGCCACTTGTGGTTATATGAAGATGTGCTGCCCCAAATCCCTTTTCAAGGAAGAACTTTCTCCAAACTACAGAGAATACTTCCAGTTGTAAACTTCCTCAGGGTCTACTTCAGCTGCAGACAGCACCCTTTCCTAAAGTTATCCCCTTTCTAGGAAAGTCGGCTATGAATGAGAGAGCAGGGCTAGGATAT